CACTTAAAATGTGCGCAACCTAGTCGGTGCAGAAGACCAGTGGATGCTTTTGGCTTGGTAAGGTACAGTCAGCTTACAAAAAGCGGAGGTAGGTGGGGTCCACCAAGTGAGAGAAATAGCGATAACGAGATAATTACGCCGAATAGATCAAACATACTTTCCAGCGTCATGCCGCGCCATTCGCATCTATCAAACGTCAACTTTCGCATTTCTTGTAACGGGGTCACACTAGCCTTTGGCTAAATTGGTCAAAGGCCTCCCATAAATAAAATGGATGAACGTGTGTGACCTTAGATTTTATATCAGCAAGAGATTATCGATTGATCGATGTTCCCAGGTTTACGGTACTAACCGTGTACGTACTTTGTACCGTCATCATTTGATGACTGAGTGATGTGGCAACCACCCATTTAGTTCGAATACTGGTGTTTGCATCAGTTCTACTTTAGTATAATACAGGGTACATAAAGTAGGATTTTCCTCGACATAAAATCTAAATAAAGTTCAGTTCTCGTTTTGAGCAGAAGTCCGTAGACTCCCCCTCCCTTTCGCACCTTGCGTTTGACAGTTCCTTAGAACTGTCGTGGGTTAGAAAGTCTTTAGACTCCGGTATTCTCCTTTCGCACAATGTGCGCGTAGTTTTTTAGAGCTACAGTTACTGAGCTGTTAGCTCGTAGAGTCCACCCGAGTTCCGTACACCTGGGTGACTCTTAAACTTGATATATTAGTTCCGTAGAATTTAGAGGCCGTCAGCCGTAAACCGTTGGCTTGTTAAGTAAGTCTTCATCTGACTTAAAGAGCTGTGTAGCTCCGCTAGACTTGGTAGCACTTGCAGTCAATCCTACACAAGAGTCATTTCGACTGACCCTATGTGAGAGATGGAAGGCCTTGACGGCCTCTCGGAGGCTCAACGTTTCGCACTTGATAAGCTTAGATCGTTGATAGGGGTCGAGCAGGTCGACCACATCGTGGCTTTAGGCCCAGAAGTGCTTAATGCACGTCTTGAGGCATTTATGCAGTTTGAGGCCACGCTGATAGGGCAGGACCACGACCATTTAACCTGAACCGTACCTAAACGGAACTTTTAGTACCTGGTAGTGAGTCAAAGACTCTTCCGCTCACTCTTAGCGTTAAGACTTTCGGGGGGAAAGAGAGAAAAAAAAACTCCTTCTCTGGATCCGAGTAATCGATTCGGCTATTGAAGCCGCGTTGCTTTAATCGGAGCGACAGAAAGTTGGCCTAGCCATTTCTAAGCTCGGTGGTTGAGCCAAAAAATGGGCTCTTACCTGTGATACGTCGGTTAGCGCTGCGTTTCCCACATGGGATTCGCTTTAACGAGAGATGTCTCGGGTCTTAGCGCCACCAAATCAAGCGTATCGTGTTTGCTCTCGATTCAAAGCCGCTAGGCAGGGAACGAGAGTATTATCGGACTTTGTCCAAGAGTTGCAAATTCCCATAACTGCTATGAAGCTGGACCCTATTCCAGAGCAAGTCCGTGTCACCATTTTTATGAAGGGCCTTCGTACGGAAATCGCGAGGACGTAAGTCCTCCGTGTCTACCTATCAACGTTTGAGGAGGCTGTAGACATAGCGTTGAATGCTGAGTTTAACTTTAAAGCTGCTTGCTATGGCACTCATGGGCATGCCCAAACATCATTTGACGGGGCTGAGCCCATGGACCACAGTCATGCTGAAGAATTAATGAGAGATCTTCTGGCTGTTGAACAGCAACGTAACATCTGTAGATGTTACATGTGCTGGAGCACCAAACACTTGCGCCCTCAGTGCCTACTGCGGAATCCGCGTCAAAGTCGGCCGAGTCGCAACCCGCCTCCTAACCCGAAAATGGGCCGGAGCGGGAAGACGGCAACTCCCAGTAGGCGCGGGGCGCCCTACTGGGGAGAAACTAAGTTCTGCCGAATTTTAGGTGGTAAAGGTAAACAGGGCTTAGCTCCAGACGGTCATGTGGAAGTTTTCACGAGACGTGAGTACAAGCCAGGCTTGTTAGTGGCCTCGGCTACGATTAAGGGCTTCGAAGAGACGTGGTCAGCATTAATCGACTTTGGAGCGTCAGGCAACTACGCTCGACGCCGGTCCCTAGAGGCATGTCAGCAAAATGCTGAGGCGCTGAAAGCGCATGAGGATAATGTTACCGCGTTTCGCTTAGCGACAGGTACTCGTGTCACCGTCCTAAAGTTCCGTTGAACTTAGGTGTGAAACTTTTAGATTTCGATAGTATCGAACGTTTTCTTGTCCTGAGTTGGGACTCGAGATATGATCTCATCCTTTGCATGGCTTAGCTTGAACGCCATGAGCTATGGGTTGATTGGAGGTTGAAGACCTTAGGCGCAACGTGCAACGTTCCTAGTGAAGCTTTGGAGAGTCATGAAACCACCTTAGCTAGGCAACAAAAGCGCTATTGGCGCGCCACTGACGGAGTCTGGCAGTGTGTTTGACATTGGAGTGTCTGAGATATTTAACTCTGATGTCATTGACAATAGTGAAACGGCACGTATTCTGTTGAGTGACGCTAGCAATGACATCGAATCACTGAATGCTGAAAGCATTGATGGCTTAAGGTCGATTCATCCTCAATGTGATCCCTGTGATGCGCGTGGACCGGCACGTAAACATCCACAGAGTGAGGTCGGCCGTGATGGCACCCCACTAAATGTCGGTAATGACATTGTAGGCGATCGCCAAGGCATCAAAAGCTATATTCAACAGATGCGAGTGTAGTGGTACGTATACATCCACAGAGTGAGGTAGGCCGTGAGGGCACCACACTTAATGTCGGTAACGACATCGGCTCTCAGAGAGAGCAGGTCGAGATCGAAGATGATCTTCACCTCGTGGAACCGGATGTTCCTATTACGTTGAAGTGTTCAGTCACTGTACATAGATGACAGCGACGCCAGATGGAGGCTGTGAAAAGAAAGGCTTCTGCCACAACCCACAAGGACACTAATGAACAGTTGTACACGTTGGTCAATGGGGTGTCTTGTGCGACTGATGGAGAAGTCGGTCTCGAGGCCCTCCCATCGATCAATTCTCTGCTAGAGCTAGACGAAATGTCTGTAGACGAAGTTCATCAAGCCTTAAAGGCTGGTGTTTTTTTCAATATGGTGGTCCTTAGACCTGATCAAGGTGAAAATCGTCATCCCTTGTAGACGAGACAGTCCTTGAAGAAATTAAAGTTACAATCAGTGCTTGCAGTGGATCTGCCATTTTGAAGGATCCTTCGGATCCCTTCTATCCTGTGGTAAAGGAATTTCAGGACGTGGTGTGTCATGATCCACCATTCACTCTACCTCCCGACAGAGGTGTGCGTCATGAAATTGACCTGGTCCCTGGGACCAAATATTGTGTTGCATGTCAATGGACATTGCCTAAGGAACAGTGTGACGTCATTGACGAGTTCTTTCCTTCCAAGTACGCGGCAGGCATGATGTGGGAGAGAAAGTCTCCACACTCGACACCGACATTTTGTGTCGGAAAGCTCAATGGTAAGTGGCGCATTGTGCACGCTTACATTAATCTCAATGCGGCCACTACACCTGCGCAGACATTTATTCCTGAAAGGATGTTCTTCAGAATGCTACAGTGGGTTGCACCATGTTTAGCGCGCTCGACTTAGTCGATGTTTATTACCAACGGCTCATGTGAGCGAGTGACATCCCGCTCACAGCGGTTAGCACGCCGAGTGGCATGCTTTGGGAGTGGCTTGTTATGCCTCAGGGATTTTCTAATGCCCCCGCAACCTATAATCGTCTCGTGACGCAGTTGTTCCGCCCTCATAGAAGATTTGAACATAGCTATTTCGATGAAATTTTTGTGCATAGCCGTGCATAACAAGGAAGATCAGATGTGGAAAATCACATTGACCATTTACAAGCAGTGCCCGGGTGCATGCGCACCAACTATTAAATGCAAATGCATCTAAACGCATTTTTGGTGCTGAAGAAATTCCTTTTCGAGAGTGCTTCATTAGAAAGCGCGGCCTACAGGCAGAATTCGCTAGGGTAAAACCCATTGTGGATTGGCCGGTTCCGTCTAACCCAAAAGACTTGCGTAAATGGCTTGGTTTAGCCAATTATTTACACAACTATAGTGCAAACTATGCTGACATGGCAAGGCCGTTCAACAACCTCCTTAGAAAGGAAGGGGTTTGGTGTTGGGACTCGGTCCCGGCACAAGCTTTTTAAGCTGTTGAAGAGAGTCTCCTTCATGCTTCAATTTTGGCTTTGTCTGGCCCGGAGCGACCTTTCACTGTCGCCTTTGAAGCATCTGATTTTGCCATTGGCAGTGCATTGCTGCAATCTGATGTTGATGGACATGAGAGCGACATTGAGTATGAGTCTCGCCAGCTAAAAGCTGCTGAAAATAACTATCCAGTTCACCACAAAGAGTTACTTGCAATAAAGTATACTCTTGTCAAGTTTAGAGTACATCTACTTGGCTCCAAGCCGTTTGTAATCTACACGGATCATGCGCCGTTGCGCACTGCGACCCAGTTGCTTCATCTCTCGCAATGTATGGCCCGTTGGCTTTCATTCTTCGCTGAGTATAACTTCGAGGTAAAGTATAAACCAGGAAAGCAAAATGCTTTGGCCGATGCGCTATCACGCAGGCCGGATTATGAGCTTGCTCATGTTACGACTCTGTCGTCTTCTATCCCAGATATAATCCGTGCAGCTTATGCCAAGGATGATCAGTGTGTCGCGTTGTTGCGCGCACTCGGTGGTGATGAGTTTAAAGACTCGGATATTAATTTGTCGGCATGCTCGCGTGCAGGGCTACATAGACATTCTTTCGATCATGGCCTCTTGTGCTATAGCACGGATGCGGCGGATACTCTGCGCATAGTCATACCTCATGATGAGGAATCGAAGTATCGTATCATCTTTGAGGCGCATGATACAGCTTTGAGCATTCATCTTGGTCAATAGAAGACCTATGGCTCGGTCAGCCAACACGTTAATGGCCCAAATTATATAAATGGGTGAGCACATATGTGCGTCCATCTTCAAGGTGCGCGGCACCAGATTAGACATGTCCACCGCGGATCATTCGCAGACTAATGGTCAAACTGAACGCTTTAATCGTGTCATTGGTGACATTTTGCGCATCTTTCGCACAGATACGCCTCGGCCTTGGAGCGCTATGCTTCCGGTGGTCGAATTTGCCATAACCAATTGGTCCATGCCTCGACTGGCTACACCCCGTTCTATGTTAACGGCCTCACCCATCCGCGCTTCCCATTAAAGCTACCTCTCCGTGGTTCCGGGCTTGGTGGGGGAGGAATTTTCGATCGGCTTGCTGATGTCAGCCCTGCCACTGCTCATAAACAGGTCGGTGAGCTCCTTGCACCAAGGTTGAATGTCTTACGACATGTGCGAGATGCAAGGGATGATAGCCAAGATAAACAAAAGGAACAAGCAGATTCCAAAAACAGAAATTGCATTGAAAGTTACGAGGTCGGAGACCAGGTCTTGCTAAACGCTAAAAATTTAATTACAAATGTAGTGTCAGCTGTTTTGAAAAAGAAGTTGCGTCCACGCTTCATTGGACCTTTTACGGTCGTGGCCAAGAAGGACCTTGCGTATACGCTCAACTTGCCGCGCAAATTACGTACACATCCCGTCTTTTACGTCGGCCTGCTTAAGTCATACCGGGACCCGTCCCATGTTGACTTGAAGGCGCTTGCGCCGCGTACATTGGCGTTGCCGCAGGATGTTGCATCCGAATTAAGAGGTCAAGTTGCGCCTCGACACGAGTCTGACGTGACTCCATCATCTGAAGACGAGCGCGATCTCCTTCCAACGTCGCCAGACGAGATCGGGCTTCGTCCAGGTCGTTCTGCGTCTGACCTAAAGTCTCACGGAGATCCTCCACTTTCTTCACCAACTCAGCATGGCTTTCAGCCAATACTCCGACCGCCACCGGCGTTGCTTGATAAGCAAGGGAACTAACAGTTCCATGTACAGCAGGTACTTCAACGACGTCGTCATCATGGTCACTACCAATATCTGGTGAAGTAGCGTGGGTACCCTGAGTCTGAAAACTCATGGGAGTATGAGATTCCCCTTCGACAAGACTGCCCATACGCCGTTGACGTTTTTGAACGCCACGGCCGAGCTCGTCTTGACGAGCGTCACGCTTCTCAATCGTCGTAATGAGAGCGGGCGAGTTCGTGTCAAAAGATTGACGTCAACTCGCGGCTGCAGAGGCAGCCGAAGCCTAGCGGGAGCGTAATACTCCCCGCAGACGGCCTCTGGCCTTTAACTTCGCGAAGTCATAGCAAAGCTTTCGATCTAGACGAACGTCTGCCACACTGGCACTTTCGCGTAGCGCGTGCATGCTACTGAGGCATCGAACGCCATGCACCCAGCGGATGAACATATTTTCCTCCGCAATTTCGTCCGCATCTTAGGACATTATGATGGGTATACCCCTGATTGCAGAACCGGAGTTTCTTGAGCCTGCTTTTGCAGCCGTTCTCTGTATTGACTCAAAGTCATCACAGCAGAGTAAAAGTACCTCTTTTGAACATCCTTGCGGCATTCGAGTTCAGTGGGCGTTATCGCCTCGGGGACGGTGGCCCATGCTGCCAAAATATGGCGTGACGCTTGTCGAATGAGTTCTCCCACGCCAGGTGGAGTAAACGTTTATTAACTGTGTCGTTGCAACGTTGTCTGAAATTCTGACTTGCGCCGTGCGCTTGCTGTTTGATCGAGCATGCATTGTTGCTCCTCGTCAAGCGGGTTAGTGATAATGGATGTATCCATGGGGGACATTGCTCCCAGCTCAGTCAGCGAGGTCGCGGCACAACGTTCGGGGAACGGATCAGGTGCCGGATGGGAAATGTCCCCACGCACAGGTGTGCTGGTTTTAAATTGCTCCTCCCCCTCGACTTTGGTATCACTACCACTGTCAAAGTCCACGCCCTCGACACCAAGAAATTTGGCGAGAGCCTTATCTTCCAGGAGCTGCCCAGATCGGTCCATGTGAGTGCGTTACTGTGTAACAAGTCTCAATAGGAGAATGAATCGAGTGACGTTTGAGGTAACGTCAGTCTGGTGGGGAAGGGTGTAACGGGGTCACACTAGCCTTTGGCTGAATTGGTCAAAGGCCTCCCATAAATGGAATGGATGCATGTGTGTGACTTTTGATTTTATATCAGCAAGAGAATATCGATTGATCGATGTTCCCAGGTTTACGGTACTTACCCTGTCCGTACTTTGTACCGTCATAATTTGATGACTGAGTGATGTGGCAACCACCTATTTCGTTCGAATACTGGTGTTTGTATTTAGTTCGAATACTGGTGTTTGTATTAGTTCTACTTTAGTATAATACAGGGTACATAAAGTAGGATTTTCCTCGACATAAAATTTAAATAAAGTTCAGTTCTCGTTTTAGGCAGAAGTCCCTAGATTATCCCTTCAACGACGCAATCAGCGTCAATGATCCTCTCTCTGTGTTCCTGTATGTCTCTGACATCTTTTCGATGTCAGTGTCTATCCCGTTTCTTGGTCCCGTGTTGACGCTAGGGCGTTCGTTTTGAAGCGTGGACTGTCTATCTGAGTTCGTGATGACCCAGCCTTCCAGATTTGATGACCCAGCCTTCTATGTTGCTGAACGGATATCAGGTGGCGTTGAACTTATCTGGAACTCCAGATCCCGTATCCTCAACTTCGACCGCTGACCGTGCCAGCTCCTGCAGTGCTATCTAGTTGTTAGTGTAAGAGTAAAGATTCATAGGATCACACTTTAGCACGACGATAACTTTGTTTAATCTCACTTTCCGATTTCCGTCTTCCTCTCCAGTTTCCAGTCTTCAGCCTTCGCACCGACACATTTGGTAGCAGTTGTTGGTCGGTTTTGGTCCATCTCCGTTTCGTCTCGTGGACATCAAGAGTTATGTGACGTGCCTTGCGTCCTTCAATTAAGCATCCAGCCTGGGGCTTATGCTCATTTGATATTGTCGATGACGCATCTGTCGTCTTAACCACCTGACGGTGGCTCTTAACCCTATTTGAATGATGGTGGCATTTTATCTGACCTGAGCAACGCGTTTAATGCGCTTGCTGCCAGCATTGCGGCGCAGAACGCACAAGATGCGCTAAACGCGCAACAGAGCCAGCTCTGTATCCGTGAAGTGAGGACTAGAGGTATCTCGATGCCTGTGTACAGCGGCCTACCAAACGAGAGCATAGAAGAGTTTATTTTTCGTGCCAGGTTGTTCATGCATGGCAAGAACTTAAATTACCATCAGCCTCAAAACCATCAGCGGGTCGTGGCCATGATGGCCTCCAACCTGAAGGGCGCTGCTGCCTCGTGGTACCATGCACGTATTGCTGTGGAGGGCAAGCAATTTCTACCTTGGAAGAGCTACGCGACGCCCTCGTATCCGAGTTTGTACCGCCTGACCAGCAGTTTCGTGTTCTCGCCGCTCTCAAGAAGTGTCACCAGACAGGATCTATTGACGAGTATGTATCACGCTTCCGATAATTGATCATGCAAGTCCGCGACATGAGTCAGTTAGACCAAATTGACCTTTTGTGTGACGGTCTTAAGTCGGAAACGCGCAAAGAAGTGACCTACCTGCGCTATTCCACGCTCAGTGAAGCGATCGCTCACGCGCAAACATGCGAACGCGTCACTTTGACCAATCCATGTCTAATTACAGTCGCAACAGAACCCCGCGTCCGTTTATGCGAGGCATCGTACAGAGGCAAGGAGAATCTGCTCCAGTTCCAATGGACATTAGCAGCATGGAATCTCGTTAAGTGACGAAAGAGCAGTGCAGGACTAAAATCTGTGCTTATACTGAAAGGAAAAGGGGCACGGAATTCACAATTGTCCGAAGAAGAGACAACGTTCGATTAAAAGAGCGCCTTCTCGCTCGGTGAGCACGGTGATGGTGGACTATGATGATCATCCAGCAATCGACAATATGTCACTCTCATCTGTCGTGCTGAGTAGTGACAAACCAGTCACTTCTGTTATACCAGAACCAGTTCCGGCCTCACTATCAGGTCCGAGTCCGTGTTCAGCCGAAATTGTCTCCTCGCCCAGAGAACCAGAAGCAACCAAGCCACTACTAATCAAGGAAGCGTTTGTCAATGGCAAGAAGTGTCGCCTCCTCATAGACTGTGGGGCTCCGCACGATGTGATCAAGCCCAAGGTATACGATGGACAGCGCAAGCCGGTCACAGTGCATGTGACAAGCTTCAACGGGGAAAACGTTACAGCCCAAACAAGTGAATTAAAGACCAGCGAAAAAATAGATGGACTTCACTATAACGATGTCGCGTTCACGGAATGGAGGACGTCGTCCGCGTACGACGAAATTCTAGGACATCTGTGGCTGTAGAACGTGAACCCGATTACTAAATGGACAGAGCAGATTATAACGTACCGACAGCAGGCACCTCATGCCAACCTGGCCGATGATCTGACCGACAAGGAGGCACAACACGTCTATGCCGAGTTGTGTAGCGTCAAAGTGACGCGTCCAATGGCAATAATGCTGCCACCAGGAGTAAAGCAGCTTATTCACAAATTTGCAGACCTGATTCCTGCATCATTGCCTACAGGACTAACACCAGTGCGTGATGTGGAGCATGCGGTTATTGTAAATTTAGGCGCTCTTCCTACAAGCCGACTTCCGTTTCGAATGGCTCCAGTGGAGAAAGTGGCCCTAAGTAAGTTCGTGGACGAGCTACTTGCGAAAAAATGGATACAATTCAGCTCATCGGAGTGGGTATCCAACATCTTTGCAGTTCCGAAGAAAGACCCATCACGGGAAAGCTCGAGTCGCGGGCTGACTGGATTCGCTGTGGATTTTGAACAGATTGGTGCGTTGGGTGAGCGATTATCGGCAAATGAATGCGCAGACCGAGGTGCCCAAGATCCCACTTTTGAGAATCGATGACATTTTTGACAAAATGAGTGGCGCCAAGGTCTTCTCCACCATCGATTTAACGTCAGGATACCATCAAATGCGTATGGAAGAGTCTTCTCGCAAGTACACGGGGTTTAGAACGCATAACGAAATATATAAGTGGCTGGTTGCACCAATGTGTCTGGCTGGTATGCCAGGCTTGTGGTCGAGACTGATGCGTATGCTCTTTGCGAAGCCTGAGTTTTAAGACTTTGCTGTCGTCTACCTGGATGAAATTTGCGCCTTCAGCTCCGGAATGGAAATACATTGTACGCACTTGCGCGTAGTGCTGCAAGTGATGAAACTTGAAAATATTTATGTACGCAAGGAGAAGTGCTCGTTCGTGCAAGAACGCATCGAGCTCTTGGGACATGTCGTGAGCGCTAACGGACTCGAAGTTGACCCCCGAAAGGTGGAAGTCATCTTCACGTGGCCTACCCCGCAAAACTAGAAGGACGTGCAACGCTTTACTAAGCTGGTGAGCTATTACCGTAAATTTATTCAAGACTTCGCCCGCCGGCTGCTACCTCTGAGCGACAATCTAAAATAATCAGTAATCCGGTTCTGGAGCCAAGCCGCCGAACGTGCCTTCTTTGACATCAAAGCTGAAATCACACGTGCTCCTGTTCTACAACTTTCTGACTTCAACAAGGAGTTCTTAGTCGTCACAGATACCTCTGGCTTCTGCATTGGTGGCGTTCTCTCACAGTCGATTCAAGATCGGGAGATGCCCGTCGCATTTTTCTCACAGAAACTGGATCAGACTAAGAAGAAATGGCCTGCATTCGAGCAAGAGCTCTTTGCTATTCGCCAGTCTGTGGAAAAGTGGCGTGTGTATTTGGTCGGTCGACCGTTTAAGATTTACACGGACAATCCGGCTTGCAAGTGGCTACAATCACCATCTAAGAAGCTCTCGCCCAAGCTGATGCGTTGGCTGAACATTTTCTCAGAGTATCAGTTCGAAGCATTTCATCGTCCTGGAAACCAAAATGTCGTGGCTGATGCCCTGTCTCGGACATCGCGTTGTATTGTGGTCAACAGCTTTTTTTCGTCTCAAGGAAATGTTTGCGATGACGAGCGTTTCCGCAATGATGAACGCATTGTCAACGCGATATCGATGGTGTCAGCAGATAGTGAGTTCGCTCGCGCAATCTCTCGAGGTTACATGCGGTACCAGCATCTAAACCCAGTCCTAAAGGCTCTTCAGCGCGATGAAGTCCTCGACCACTTTTGTCTGAAGAACGGGTTAATTTACCTGAAAACTAAGGACCAGGTGACACCTGTATGCGTTCCAGCGTCGTTTAAATCCATTATTCTTCGCGCATTTTACGACTTCCTCGATGCAAATATCGTAGCGCATCCAGGCGTTATGCGAACTTATTTGATGGTTCGTCACTGGTACTTCTGGCATGGAATGAGGAGGAATGTTGAAGAATATGTTCGGTCATGTGAACAGTGTCTGTGAAACAAGCCCGGAAGCAGAGCTCAAGGTCTCATGCAACCCATTCCGGTGCCAACGAGCTGCTGGGAAGTTATTATAACTGACTTTCTAACTCATATCCCCATCTCGAGTGGATACGATGCGATTCAGGTCGTAGTGTGCAAGGTAATCAAGCGTCCATGTTACATTCCAACCCACAAGAATGTCGATGCCAAGATATCTGCGAAGTTAATGTTCCTGCATTGCTTTAAACAGTATGGTATTCCAAGTGTCATTATGTCCGACCGCGACCCCGGATTCACTTCAGATTTTGGGTCCGAGCTGATGTGCCTCTTTTGAGTCAAGTTGTCTTAGACCGTTATGCACCGTGCGCAGGCTGACGGACAAAGCAAAAGGCAGATTCGCACACTTGAAGAGAGATTGCGGCGCATGATAAGCCACCATGGAGCAAACTGGTACGATGTACTACCATTCGTTGAGTATGCTCACGCCGCATGCGTAGCCATGAGCACCGGGTTTTCCCCTTTTGAGGTCGACACCAGTCGACAGGCTCTTCATCCCAGTGCAGTCGGTGAAATCGTACCTGCAGGCTCGGAAGCTGAATCGTTTTGGGAGCGCAGAGCACGCATCGTCGAAGAATCCAAGCAGAATCTACGTCAAGCTAAAGAACGACAGAAACGCTATTACGATCAAGGTCGCCGCAAAATGGAATTTAAAGCTAACGATTGGGTCCTGGTGAATGCTTTACCGCTGTCCAAGAAGCATGTTCAAGAATCGGAGTCTACGAACAAGCTCCTTCCCAAGTATGTCGGTCCTTTCACGGTGTTGCGACAGCTGAGTCCGGTCACGTACAAGAATCAGCTACCGCCACATATGAGCAAGATTAAAAATGTATTAAACGTCGACCAGCTCAAGTTCTTACCGGGTTCTCTTATTCACCTTGTCGGCCGACCGCTGTACAAAACCACCGAAGTGCTGTACGATGAGCACGGCCATCGAATGTGGGTGATCGAGAGTCTCAAAGCTACACGAAAGGTGAAAAAATAACCAATGTCTCGTCAAGTGGGCAATCCTCCCATCAAATCAAGCGAGTTGGCAGTGGAAAAATGACATACGGCACGTAGCGCATTGGAAGCAGCTTCTCACCGGTCTGTGCGCTCGCATCAAAGCCCAGTGTTCTCGTCGGTCGCGGCTCAATTAACCCGCGGAGAATGTAATGACGCAATCAGCGTCATTGATCCACTTTCTGTGTTCCTGTATGGCTCTGACATCTTTTCGATGTCAGTGTCGATCCCGTTTCTTGGTCCCGTGTTGACGCTAGGGCGTTCGTTTTGAAGCGTGGACTGTCTATCTGAGTTCGTGATGACCCAGCCTTCCAGATTTGATGACCCAGCCTTCTATGTTGCTGAACGGATATCAGGTGGCGTTGAACTTATCTGGAACTCCAGATCCCGTATCCTCAACTTCGACCGCTGACCGTGCCAGCTCCTGCAGTGCTATCTAGTTGTTAGTGTAAGAGTAAAGATTCATAGGATCACACTTTAGCACGACGATAACTTTGTTTAATCTCACTTTCCGATTTCCGTCTTCCTCTCCAGTTTCCAGTCTTCAGCCTTCGCACCGACACAACATCCCCCCCTTTCGCACCTTGCGTTTGACAGTTCCTTAGAACTGTCGTGGGTAGAGAGCATTTAGACTCCGGTATTCTTCTTTTGCACATTGTGCGCGTAATTCTTTAAAACTACAGTAGCTGATCTGTGAGCTCGTAGAGGCCACCCGAGTTCCGCAGAACTGGGTGACTCTTTAACTTGATAAATTAGTCCCGTAGAACTAATAGGCTGTCAGCCGTAACCCGTAATCCGTTTAAGAAATTATCCTTTGACTTAAAAACCGGGTAGCTCCGGTACATTTATCTACGGACCAATAGTCATGATGATCCATCACACTGTCGCTCACGACCAGCCGATCTGCCGTACTGCTTGCCCACGATAAGTCATCGTGTGCAGCGTCCCGCTCAGCAATTCACGTACTGTAAACTTTCATCGAATCATGTCGTCAATTCCTTGTCTGCTTACTGGCGTGTCCGTAAACGGGAGATGACGTTTGTACTTGGAACACGGGCCGCAACAAATACGTCCACACAATCGGCAATGGTGAAGTCGCACAAGTAGGCCAAACTTGCTTGAGCATACCATACACGAGCGTTGCGTTCATACGGAAACCAATCGGGCGGGTGCACTATGAACTTGGACAACTACGCTAGATGAGACAGGAACAAAATGTCCAGCACCATCACACCTTTATAAATACGAATCGTCACACCTTTTTGTTACGAATCATCAAACCTTTACTGTGACGAATCTCCGTGCCCGCATGCCCTTTCACAAGCGCTGCTGCGACTTTCCAAAGTCCCTGGGACACTGCAATATGCAAGACCGTGCTGCCTGCTCCATCAAAGTATTCGGAAAACGGAAGCGATCCGAATCAAAGTATTCGGATCGCTTCCATTTTTCATCAGCAGTTGCACAATCTCGGGATCATCTCCATCCTGGGCCGTCAGCACGTGACCAATGATCGAAAACTCGTCCCGCTTTTAATCGTCGGATCTGCTCCCCGCCTTAGCAACAGAACCACCACTGGAGCTGCCGACACGACCGCGCACGTAGCAGCAATGAGAGAGTTATTTTCCTTCGTCGCTTTGAACGAAGAAGATGCGCTGGTGGAGGTGTGCGTTGCTTTCTTTGGAGAGGAAGGTGAATCATTCAACGATCAGGTGTCCAAGAATGCGGAGCTTGCATGCGCGTATGACACATGCTCGTAGGCGGTTGACCGCCATACTCGGGACGTATCATCGTGGTCCGGAGCCGTGGCTGAAGAGCTGTCATCACTGCTTGACATTAAGGCTCCAGCAGTTTTTAGTTCCGATGTTCTAGACGATTCAGGTCGGAAAGCTATCCAGAAGTTGTATGCGATGGAAGTGATGGTGGCTCGAACTGGTTGGTGACAGCTGCAAGCACAAGTGAAATACAGCTCACCAATGGCTTGGCTGTCAGCGCGAATGCGTTGGCAAATGACGTGAAGTCGCTGAAAGATAGTGTGTCTTCTGACACATTGAAGCGTCAAGATGAACTGAGAGCTATGCAGGAGATGATCGATCGCGAGGAACAAATAGCTCTACTTCTGGATGTAATCGAAGAGCAACAGGGTGCTCATGCTGAATACGTGACTACCGTGAGCGGTCTGGAATGGAGCATTCATCACTGTCACTAGAGGAGTCAGTGCTTCAAAGTCGTGTGAAAGTTCTTAAAGTACTGGCTGTAGAGCTGGATCCCGTGACTCTAGCAGCAGCTTCACAGCTGGAAGACGATGTGCTGGCGACGGAGGAAACGCTTGCAATTCAGGAGAGCATGTGTGTGTGGAAGATTTGTGAGGCAACAACCTTGCATCCTCTTCTGAGCGCTCGATACGAAGATATGTTGTTCGATGTCGAGATTTGCGTGGATGTCCATGTGGGGTCTTTGTCGATGGGCGAGACGTCCACTTCAATTAAGACTCACGAATTTCATTCCCAAATTTTTACGGTTCAGCTCAAGCCAGTCTTCCTTCCTTTCGGGGCGGACACTTCAAACGGAAACCTCCCCATAGGAGAGTCGAAGCGACCTGGGATCTGCCTTGAGCAAGCTGCACTCGTGGTATCAGTTGTGAGGGCAGTGGACCGACGGGTCGCGCAAGCGGCAACGAAGGGGGAAGATACGGAATAAAGGTGTACCCCGCGCCACGTGTCGCCGTTGCGTCGGTCGCACAATCCAAGCCCTGGGGGTCGCACAAGCAGCCAAAAAAGGGGAAAATTTCGTGATGAAGGCGTCTCAACACATTTTCAACCACATCATCGGCACCCTTTACCGTTGGTGTCACGGTCTCCAGCCTCGGATAAGCATTTTGTCCCCTTAGCCACTCCTCGGACGTTGTTGCAGCTTCTTTTGACAACGTGTCGAGGTACAAGTCGCTTTGGAACGTATACGTTGCCTCGTTGCGAGGAACTCGGTAGCTGATGACTTTGCAACTCACGCCACCACTCGTTCCGCTCGTACTGAGATTTAACACGCGTGCAACTTCACACACATTCATATCACATACTGACTTGAAAAGAAGCGTCGCTGCAAGCGCTGCAAGTGTCGAGTCGCTCGATGTGCTGCAGTTTAGTGCATGCACACAAGGTGCGCGCATTACGTCTGCCTCAAAAATTCTGGCACTGCAACTTCTCTTGCCAAGCGCAAACAAGAGGTCCATTATAGGATCGTAGAGCAAAAACAACTGTCCACCAACTCCTGCATCCACTCTTTCTCGATGTAAGCACTTGGCCATGCGTCGAGGGTCCCACAACTTGAGCTCTCGCTTCTGCATCAGCGTATCGCTTCCACACGTGACAAAATGCTGCGTCCGTTCACACCTGTCCACACCCACTGGTTGTGTACCTGAATGTGCCTTTGGCACTTCGACCGTCGACGTCGGATGCTCACGCGGGTCCACCATCCTCACAGCTTGGCCCTGCGTTGCCGCTGTCACAGTTCGACCATACCGAGTCCAGTCCGCAGACGTCAACGAAGCGCCTTGTCCCACTGCTCTCTCCAAGCTCGTCGTCGAAGCATGCACGTCATGCAGTCTCAGCACTCGTCGTCTCGAGTACGTGGCCTACACCGAATCAGCCGTCGGATGCGGCATAATACCCACTACACTGCCTGCTGTTTCATGAGAAAACACCGTCACAGGCGTCACAAGCTATCCATCTTCTCACCCGGTGACCCTACTCGCCGGATCTTCACCGTCGCCACAGCACCGCCAGCAGAGAGCAACAGGTCTTCACGAAAACGCGAGAAAGCTACATCTGTCGTCACGCTTCCCGTCTTGTGTGCGCGCACGACAGCGGCCGTGTCTCTGAAGACTCCTGACTCTCTTTTTTAGCTGCGTCAATCCCACTCAGACCTTCCACTTGGATTGAGCCGCCATGAGTATCTTCTGACTGAACAAATGCAAAGTGAGCGGACGTCGCAGCAAGAGCGGGACGTTTAGAACTGGCACTTGGAATAGACACGGGCAAATGCGTCAAGACTCTGGACGCAGGGGCGAGTCGCGTGCTCTCCACGCAACGAAACTTGCTGGACAAATGGACACAAGAGAGAGAGAGACAGAGACAGAGAGAGGAAGAGAGGGAGGAGGGACAGAGCGCGTTAGTTTTGCTGAGCCTTAGCAAGAGAGAGAGAGAGAGGAAGGTGGAGACGGAATTGCCTTGCGTGGGACGCAGCCATGCATGTGCTGACGAGTCAGTTGCCCACTTAATTAGTATTCGATGCAAAAAGAATGAACTTCTCGTATTACGTATGAGGCCATATTTACATCAGCCGGAAAAGACATTGTTCAATGGATATTTAAAAAGAGTCTCGGTATAAACTCCAATCAACGGTTGTTGCTAGTTCATTTTAAAAATTTAGTAATTTAATTTTTTTTTGATTTCTGAGAATTGTTTTTTTTCTTATTTAGTTAATTAAGGCTTTTGATTTGTTATTTATTCGACCTTCTTGTGACGAAACTCGACGTTGGTGTGGACGACACCAAACACTCACTCCTCGTTTGTTTCAAGCAAACAAACAGCTCGAGATGCTGCGTCGGGTGTGGCAGCGAGCAGGTATGTGGCAGTCACCCGACGCGGTTCTATTGCGCCGTTGCTGTCAATGCACAGGACCGTGTGCTGCCGCGTCGACAAGATCGGTCCTCGCCACGCGCTTCGGCGCTGCGTCCGCGCGCGCGGTCGCCAGTCAATCAGACGCTGCCGAAAAAACGCTCCGCAGTCCGAACCAATTGAACGTTTTATTGTCCAATCAAACGCCGCCCACGACTTTTGTAGCCACTTGTCGCGCGTTGCGCATCATTGACGAGACGGCGCTATTGGCGACGATTGACGTCCGGACGTGGAACGTGGCACTGCAGCGACGACTGGAGGCTCAAGACGAACGCGGGGAAGCGGAGCTCTTGGGTCTAATCGCGAGTTTCAGTCGCGAAATTGCAAGTGTACCCATGTGGACCGATTTGTTTTTTGCAGTGTGACGACAGCGTTCTTTACGCGGGTTTCGTGCGGATGAGATGCAGGAGCTCTTGAGACAGTTGAAGCGGAAATACGGACCGCAATTTGTAGCCCGCGTGCTCGTAGACGTGGTAATGGCTGTGCCAATATCAAGATGTTTGCATCTGCTCACGAGCTGCTGCTGTATCAGCAGACGTTGTGGTCGGAGATTCGCTCTGGTACTACTACTACAGACGAGACATTGACGACGGGGTGGAGCGAGCAGAGTAAAGCGCTGATGCCGCCATCAGTGGTTGGCCACTTGATGGCCAAGATGATGCACAGGAAAAAGCACGGTCAAGTGCTGGCGCTTGCACGCGCGTATTTTGCTAGTGCTGCGTTCGACCCAGTGCGAGATTTATAGCAACAGGGGTTCCTCGAACTGTTTAAAGCAAGTGTGTACACACAACAGAGTCCGAGGAATGTGGTGCACGTGTGTTCGGACTATGTGGAGGGAACGTGCCGTGCAGCAGGAGGCAAGGTGGAGAGAGTGAGGACACGAGTGCTCGAGCGAGGCTTTGGAGCTGCAATTCACTGCTGTGTAAAGTTTGATGAATATTCGCTGGCGTTGCATTGTTATGAAGTGATGGAAAGCACACGAGAGAGGCTCGTTTGTGCTGGGGACGACTTACCGGTGGACGACGCGATCGACGAAGCTGCAGAGAGGGTTGGCATCGTGGATGAAGTGCTGCTAGCTGATGAAAATATATACGTCAACGTGTTGAAAGCATGTACGGAGATCGAGGATTTCTCCACGTTTGAAGATGCGTTCCGCGGGATGGTAGCTCGAGGTGTGGCTCGTAGTGCTGGATTCGGGTCAGCGATTCGTTATCGTCACAAGCATTTGGATCCAGTGTTCCTTGAAGAAGTGTTGGACGCGGTATTCTAAACAGAATAGAAGCTTGCAGGTGCCTGGACACTAGAGGTAGAAAACTATAACGATGCGCTTGGCTGTTTTGCTGCTACGAATAGACCGGACCAAGCCAAGGAGCTGTTCTCGCAAATGCTGAACAACTCGTCGATAGTGCCCGGCATATTACGATGCTTGAGATGGTGGAGAGTCACCGCAACGCCTTGATCGAGGAGGCATTTCATCTCATGGACGTGTTTCTTGAGTGGAATCTAACATCGAATCTTCAAGTGTTCACATCGCTGCTGTCCATCTACATGCGCCGTCGTGAAGTAGGCAATGCTGTTGCGCTCATTGGTGCGATGGAAGAGCATGGTATCGTTCAGGATGTGAAGGCATTCACGACTGTGGCGTTCATTCATGCATCTCGCGGTGACTGAAGGCTGTGGGAGACGTTTTACGAGATGTGGCGAGTCAAGGTGTTGCTACCGACAGGATGTTCTTTGACTACGTCCTCAACGCACTGTACGGGTCGTGCGGTGTCGACATGTGTTCTCGCTCTTGCGTGAGCTGAGTGCAAACAAACGGGCGATTCCAGACGGGCTGTACATCTCGCTAATTGATCTCGGCACCACGATTGGTTTGATTGAGCGCACGGTGCATATTGCGTACGACAAGGAGTGCAAAGGCTGTAATCTCTCATCGAAGCAGTTGTACGGGTTGATGATGCGTTGTCACTCGGACGGCGAGATTTCGGAGTTTGTGCGGACGTATGTGATGTTAGCCCAGGGCGTGCCGCCCCAGACTCCGCGCTTTGAGGTGGAAATGTATGAAGATTTGATATCGGTGCTGACGCAATTCAGTCGCAAAAACGAAGTCCCGAAAGTGCAGGAGCTGGCTAGATCAGTGGGGTGCACTGATTTGATTGCTTGAGCGTATTTGTTGGTGCGCTTTGCTGTGACGCGCTCAAGGCAAATGTACCCACAAAATAACGGTTCGTATCGTTCTTCTTTCACACGGCATTTCATTGTTTTTTGTTCCATCTATGCTAATGTCCGGTGCCGACGTACTGCTCAAGCTGCTTAAGCAGGGGTTGGTAGAGCTTTTCGTTGGCTTGAACAGCCCAAACAAAGTCCAAATGGCTAAAGCTGCTGATCTCTTTCTCATAGACAATTGTGCTGGACAGCAACGCAGATAGTAACTGATCGATGTCAGCTCGAGTGGCGAAGATGTCGTTTCCACCCGTAAATAATCCAGTGCGAGGGTACTCCATGCTGCTAATGGGAAAATCTGGTGGGTCAAAGCTGCCGTACTTGACTTTGTTGGTGCACATGTTTTCGGACACAGGTGAATGCCAAGCGTGCGAGGACATCTGCAGCCATAGATGAACGCCGAACATGTGTTTTCGCGGATGCTTTGGGCCTAGTGGCGCATGCTCTTGACGGAGGTTCCTGAGGGCACATCTGAAGCGTAATCGCCTATACGAGATGCGTTCAAGTTCTCCGTAGATTTGACTACGAGTGCAAACCCCGAGGCGCACAATTTCGGACCCATGTGACATGCAGCCGGTTGAATGCTTTTTTGTAGCAACGCGATATGCGAAAAGAGCTGGACTTGACCGGAGGCCTCGAGGACCTTGTTGAAGTAGGCACGAGCAAGGAGATTGAACGTCCTCGAATCTGTATTGCCTAGCCAGTCAACAGGTCCCAGAGCCGCACAATAGGACACGGATCGAGCGAGGGTCTGGTTTTTCAGCAAACGCAACGGCTGCCTGAGTTGACCCCTGCGAATACCCTACAAGAGCCAGTGTCTCCCGTCCCGACGTCTCCAGAGCATAGTTGAGCGTTGCTGGCACGTCAAACCGCCCATGTCTTCCCACGAAAGGCCCAGAACGCAGTGTCTTTGGTCGTGTACTTAACGTGGCTGGACGAGTACGTATTGCCGCGATTATTCCCAAGCCAGACATCGTAGCCAGCATCAGCAAGCACTTAGGCGAGACTGTGGTTCCGGGAGTCGCACACCCATGCGAAACTACTGGCCACCATTTCGTGCTGGACGAAAATAGCTGGTTTGTTTCGGTCTGCCTTGTCGTTGTTGTTGGCATCTGCTTGGCTTTCTCTGTACGACGTTGGTAAGCGATGCATGGAGAGGATGTATCCATCTATTGTCGTGACATTGTGCGTCTCCACTACGTAGCCACGCGCTTGAACAAGCTCAACAGTGGACTTCCCAGCATTTGGATCGAGGTCTAGCTCAGCTGCCGTGACTTTGTCGAAGTGCAAGAGCGAGTGAGTTAACGCAAGCAGCGCGAGTTCCAAGCACAGGACCACGAGGGCTTTGTCTCGAGATGAAAACCCTTCTGCAGTGTTGACAGGATGACGTTTACGATAATGAATGTGCGGCACCAAGTCACGCGAAACCGAAGAATACACAGCACAGATTCGTGCACTTTCGTTCGCCTTCTGTCTTGTGGTCTCCCTTGGCGTCTCCTTTGTCATTTGCACCTCACCAGTTGTCGTCCCCTTTACTGCCGCCGACTTTCCATCATTTGACTGCTACAAGAGC